ACAGTTAACTTTTAAAATTTTTATAAGTGTAAGGAGTATACTCTAAAATAATGATGAAAAGTATAGTGTAGTAAATATTGGGTGATAGGAATTTTTCAGCTCCATTATAATCTTAAGGGACCACCATCGTATATGTGATTTGTTGTTGAAACAACAGCATGGTCCTGGTGTTATATGGTGCGTGATTATTGTATTTGTCAGTTATATTATGTCTCTGTTTACCTCATATATCACTGGATCCCTTCAAGTATATGACGAACATCATTACATTTATCTCCAGAAAAACGTACATAGATGACACAGACACAATTTTGCATACAATGTCATGGAGTTTATAAATTCCTTGATCTCATTCATGGATTCCTAGGTTAAGGATACTTGTACTAGATCGTGAGGTTGTAGAGATTAGGGTCATTTCTTATTTGTTTTTTATAATACACAATGCTTTGCACAAGTGCGTACTCAAAAAATATTATAGGCTCTTGATATATGCAAGTTTACTTTCTTCATTCCCAACTTTAAGAGATAAACATTATTACATTGGGTTAAAAAAGTTCTATTTTCTGTATGCCAGAGACATTTAAAATAAAATGATCCAGAAAGCTTAGAATTAAAAAGATAGGGCAGATGCAATAAAACGATGCTTGCTTTTTATTAATAGCATACAAAATAGATATAAATACTAAAATACATTTCTTTGGGAGCAAAGATGGTCATTTTTTATTGATGAAATGTGAAATCCACATTGACAATATAACCGTGAAACTTTATGTATCAAGTAATAATGTCAAGTTATTTAAAGGTTAACTTTTAGAAATATGAAGTGGACAAAGAGTCGGTAGTTGTAGTAGATTTTTGTCCATCTCTCTTAATTCATGACAGACTAAATAGGCAAAACGAATACACAAATGTTCAATAAATTAATTCCAAATTCTTAAACAACTGTAGACTAAAGTTGTTTTCATGCTATCTGTGAAATATTTCCTTGGGGAGGTGGTTTCATTATTCCCCAATGTTCTTGAATACATTTATTTGACTTGGTAAATGCTTTAAAGTGGTTGGAGAAGATGCCTTCTGTATATTGAGATTTATACTTTAGAGATAATAAAACTTTTGATAGATTAGACTGTCTTCTTTTTATGAAGAGATTTTTTTTTTGAGACAGAGTCTCATTCTGTTGCCCTGGCTAGAGTGAGTGCCGTGGTGTTAGCCTAGCTCACAGCAACCTCAAACTCCTGGGCTCAAGCAATCCTCCTGCCTCAGCCTCCCGAGTAGCTGGGACTACAGGCAT